CTATTCTATTCTATTCTATTCTATTCTATTCTATTCTATTCTATTCTATTCTATTCTGTTTAGGAATGAGTGTTTTAATGTGTATTTTTGTTCCAAGGCTCTCAAATTACTCAACATTATGCTCACCATGTTTTGATGCACTCTAAAAATATTTGATATAAAAGTATTTGTTTAGGAACAGAGCACAAAAGTCAATATTTAGTCAAAAATATTGCCTTGTGTTTTAGTTTCTGTCCTTTTTATAGACAAACTACGTAACATTAAAGCATTAAAGACATCTTTGTAGAAAAAAAACTGTACTTTCCATTTGATATTCATTTTTAATGTTATTGAGAAATATTTTCTTGTCTTAAAAATAGATATATGATCAGACTGTGTGTATACATTATACTGTCAAACACATACGAATATACAAAAGGATATATAATTTTTTTTAAATAATCAATCTGAAATATAAAATGAAGTATTTTTCAACAGTCCTGATTAAAGACACAAGTGACTTTAGGGTTAGCTGAGCCCAACAGCGACATGAGGTAGCGAATTAGCAGAACGTGAAGCCCCATAAGAACTYCTAACCTCTTGATAGGCGCCTCACAATCAAAGTCATTAGCCAGTGTAATAAAGGGCCTGAGATACAGCCATTCTTCAACAGCCTAACTCTTTTATAACCAACAGATTAAAGTTGATTGGATTAAAATGACATTCTGCCCGTCTGACCTTGGCGGCAGCAGTTAAGTTCATCCAAATTAAATTTCTCCGTAATAAAGATGATTCATTTGTTGCCTGACGTAGTAAATATAAAACAGAAAGAAATGAGAGAAAATATTAAGTGACACACCCCATTGCCCACGTGTGCACGCACAAAGACACACATACACAAACAGAAGAACATATTTATGGGTGCACTAGAAGTGGTGCTAGCTGAAAGCTGATAATCTTTTCACTGATTGCCTTTAAAAGCAGCCTCATTGATTGTAATAAGGTCATGTTTTAAAGAATAAGACAATACAATAAACAAACCCTTCACAATAAAAAAAGCCATCAGTGAAAATTCAAAACCACTGAAATTAGAATGACTAAAAGAAGTACGGTGACCTTCTGTTTGTGTGTGGACTGATGCTTTTATGTCCACATTTGTCTTTTTACCTGGTCCATTCTTGTCCTTACCTGCTRTTTGAGTGTGTCCATCTGCTCCTGCAGAGATCCCAGGAGGTTCTTGAAATGGTCCGCTTTTTGCTGACTTTTCTTCAGAGCATTCTGATTGGCCTGRAGCTCATCTGTCAGCTGCTCAAGAGCCTCCTGTGAGCTCTCCCACTGGCTGACCTTTTCCTTGTACCAATGCTGCAGCTCAGCAAGCTCTTCTTTTAATGTACAAGTTGCTGATTGCGACTTTCTCAACWACCAATCAAGTAAAGCAAACAGGAATAAATTCAAACATCGACTGATTTGGTACTAAAAAGGGGGAATACGTAGAATAAGTCAAGATCTGATCAAATGTACAGTTAAGAGACAGGAATGCATTTTTTGTAAACAAACGCAGAGGTAACAACCCCCGTACCTTTTCATGGGAATACCGCAGTTCCTCTTCTAAAAGTTCCACAGGCTTTTGCAGCTCATGCACTTTTTCTAAAGCTGTTGTGTACTTTTGTTTAAAAATTGTTGCTGTTGCTTCGTGTTCTTCAGTCTTCAGGCTGGCCTCTTTSAGCTTAACTTTGGCTCTTTTCAGCTGTAAACGATTTGCACYAACGTTTGTTAATTTAAATGCTACAAATTCACATAACATTTACTCTCATCATTATCTAGTAAAAGTTATTAAGAATATAGTTAAAGATTTGGGAATAAATCAGGTAAATTTTACTTAATTTGCTCAATTAAATCTTGTAACATATACTTGATCAAATTAAGTAAAATTTACCTGATAATTTCACAAATATTTAACTATATCCTTAATAACTTTTACTAAATAATGATGAGTCAATATTACATGAATTTGTAGCATTTAAATTTGCTTAACAAACATTAGTGCAAATTGTTATGAGGRTTGTTTTTCTAGTAAATCTTACAAGTTCGTTATATCAGTGCACATGTGTCAAGCACAATATTGTAGCATGACAYCTCACAGTTGCAGAGAGAGGTGTAGCTCTTGTTGTAGTTCAAGACTTCACCACCAGGTGGTGTTTTGAAGAACCTTTATTGGATTTTTCTTCATGAACAAAACAGGCAAAGTGAAACTCACAGGTCTTATTAATAATGACTACCACTCTCACTTATGGTTACTTCTGCTGAACGGTTTAACACAAGTTAA